ATTTTTTTTTTTTTTTTTTTTTGAGACAGAGTCTCACTGTGTTGCTCCAGCTAGAGTGCAATGGCATCATCATAGCTCACTGCAACCTCAAACTCCTGGGCTCAGGTGATCTTCTTGCCTCAGCCTCCCAAGTAGCTGGGACAACAGGTGTTTGCCACCATGTCTGGCTAATTTTTTCTATTCTTAGTAGAGATGGGATCTTGCTCTTGCACAGCCTAGTCTAGAGCTCCTGACCTCAAGCTATCCTCCTGCCTTGGCTTCCCAGAGTGTTAGGATTACAGGCGTTAGCCACCGTGACTTGTCTATACCTTATAATTTTTAAACCTTGTAACATACTTGCATGTCCCTTGTCTTAGCCATACAAATTAAATTGGGCAAACGCCTAAAAAATACTAAGAATATATTTATTGAGAATTAGACCTTAAAATTCTAAATGAAAAAGTATTGTCTGTTTCTGTCACTAGATTCAGTCAATATTAAATGTAGGAGGAAGAAGCAAGTGAGAGAGCATTATTATAAATATCCCCTCTGGAAGAAGGAACCTTAAGGCAAGAGTCCTATATATTCTTTTTGTTTAGATTTTTCTTAAAACTTGTAAGTCAGAAAGGATTACACAGATCCTAGTGTCTTAAAGAATTTGGAAGTAAATTTAAGTGGGATTTATTTTTCCCAGGAGGAATAACTACCATTTTTCATTCCCAGGAGAAATAACTACCATTTTTCAATATGAATATGTGAGGCAGACATTCATATGTGGCATTTGGCTATCATGCTCTTTTTTTCCCTATGTTTCATTGTGAAGTTCAAGCCTGTTATGAAGAAACCCAAGGTTTCTCTGAACACATATGTGTCCAGATTTGAAATCGAAATCAGACCAGGTCTCTAAAAAAGCAAAAGCATCCAGAAAGGTAACTTAGGATATGCCCAAAGGACAAAGAATGGACCCTATGGACTAGGCTTTCATCATCCTCCCTCGCATGATTTGAAGCAGCCCAGCGACCAGCCAAAACCTTCATGCAGAGGGTATGATCTATAAGAAATTCACTGTTAAGACTCAGGACCAAAAAGGTGGGAAGTCTCTTGGGCAGTGCCCTCATATGAGGGAAGCCTGGAAACTGCTGATAGGGCAGTGCAGGGTTGTCAGTAAACTTCAGGAGAATTATAGAGTTAGTCAATGTTGTCATTTAGTCTGATCGTTCTAATCTTCAGGATTTAACCTCTCTTTTAAGATTTTAAAGACATGACTTTTGGAGATGTCTTGATTCAAGCAAATCTAGTACATTAAATAAATATGCTCATATTAAAGTATCATGTAACAATGTATCAGGAAAGCAGACAAGTGATTCAGAGACATTCTTACTGGCTTTTTCTTTTATTTAAAACATTTTTTTTCTTACATTTTAGATCTACCATGTATTGTTTTCTTTGTAGAATACAAAAGAACAGATTACATTTAAGATTTAAACAGATAAGATCCCATTTCTTAATGCACGCCAGTGTATAATTGAACTTGACTTCAGATTTTATCTTTGAAATGACTCTGTTAATTTTAAGAAAAATCATTTAAAAAGTCGTGTGATGTAGCCTATTAAGAAAGAATATTTGTTCATTGCTTATGACATTATTCTTGGTTACTATTGCCTTTGGGATGCTCTCACCCACTCTCCACTTCATCTTTCCTTTATTTATTTTTATTTATTTACTTATAGATTGATTGAGACAAAGTCTTGCTCTGTCCCCCTGGCTTGCAGTGGTGTCATCATAGCTCAGCACAACCCCAAACTCCTGGGCTCAAGCGATCCTCCTGCCTCAGCCTCCTGAGTAGCTAAGAATACCAGTTCATGCTACCACACCTGGCTAATTTTTTTCTATTTTTGGTAGAGGTGGGGTCTTGTTCTTGCTCAAGCTGGTCTCAACCTCCTGACCTCAAGCAATCCCCCTGCCTCAGCTTCCCAGATTGCTAGGATTACAGATGTGAGGCACCATACATGGTCTCATCTTTCCTTTAATCAGGAAAATTGCTCATTCATTACTATTACATCGTTTGCTGCATGCTGTACTACTGCATAGTGTGTATTATTACCCAGAAAATATAGTGAAATATTATTGTAAAACTTAAATGATGTAAAAGATCTATAATGATTTTATAAATTAAAGGACTAAACCCATTTTAAAAACTAGTAAGACTAGTTTTTGACTAAATTTTTGTATATAATTCCAGAAGTAAATAAAAGAACATAATAAATCTGTATCTGGTGACTGAAAGCATTCCAAGACATATTGAAAAAGGCAAATTGTAGAATAAAATGTAGCATATATAAATTGTGTTAAAATATAGATGGAGCCAAGGGTATATATGTAAATACTGTATATGGGTAAGAAGTGGCCTGAAACATACTCCACCAAACTGATAGCACTGGTGCTTATTTTTACCAAGCCGATGAAAATCTTAACATGTTTTGCTTAGGTACTTTTTAAAGCGGCTGTTATTTCAATTGATAGAGAACATTTTAGAATTACTGAAAATATTCTTTAAAAAATATAGGTTTACCATTTATTGACTATCTGACCAACCTTAAGTTACTTAGCCTCCCTGTCAGTTCTCTTATCTGTAAAATTAGGGATGATGAAAAATTGTACCTACCTTATGGAGTTACTAAAAGGATTAAATGCAGTAAGGTATGCAAAGAGCATATAAATGCTTAATGAGTGCTTACTATTATTTTTTTTTTTTTTGAGACAGAGTCTCACTTTGTTGTCCAGGCTAGAGTGAGTGCCGTGGCGTCAGCCTAGCTCACAGCAACCTCAAACTCCTGGGCTCGAGTGATCCTTCTGCCTCAGCCTCCCGAGTAGCTGGGACTACAGGCATGTGCCACTATGCCCGGCTAATTTTTTGTATATATATATCAGTTGGCCAATTAATTTCTTTCTGTTTATAGTAGAGACGGGGTCTCGCTCTTGCTCAGGCTGGTTTTGAACTCCTGACCTTGAGCAATCCGCCCGCCTCGGCCTCCCAAGAGCTAGGATTACAGGCGTGAGCCACAGCGCCCGGCCTTTACTATTATTATTAGGTATTATTGCTGTAACATTAGTCAAGAACCTACCTGAATGAGCAAAGAGAAAAAGTTTAGCCTTAAGAAATCCCCTTTATATATAGCCAGTACCATACTTCATATATGAATACTGAGCTACAAAGATGCGTTGGGTCACTGAACAGTTAAGATTTCTAATTAACTAAGGTCTGACCTCTACATAGCCTCATAGCACTGCTGATTTGAATTTGTACCTTCCCCAAATTATAAATTACTGTTTGTTAAAACCTTTGAGTTTAAGCAGAACAATCAAAATCATCAATTTTAAATTCTCAGAGGCCAGGGGTTGACTCTGTCCATTTCTAAAAATGTAGAATCCATAAATTCCTCTTGAGAATTTAAGAGGAAGTACACTTAATCCTCAATATACCTCCCTCAGGCTACTAGTAGCAGAGTCTCTGCCCCCTGATTAATCAGACCATAGAGGCACCAGTCTACTTCAGCGACCAGTAGTAGTGCCCTACATAATCTTGATTTGGCCAAAACAGACCCAGCTTTGGTAGATTTTGTTTTGTGAGAAACAGTCCAGGGTCCACTGAGGGTCCCAGCCTGAACTGATAATCTTTCACTCTCCTAAACTGCTGAAATATATATTGCCTTTATTAACTCTTGACATATAATTGACAGATAATTGATCATATTTATTTACTTAGCATGTGCCAGGTGCTGCAACAGGTGTTTTATGTTCAGTATCTCATAGGTTTGGAAATATTGATTAATTTTGTATAGTTTCATAGGCTGTTAACTAGGTTTTGAGATGTTGAGGACAAGAAAAATGTCTTACACATCTTTGTAAAAGTTATCTGAAATATGCACTTGGCTCATTTTTATTGATTAGTTTTAAGTTTAATTAAGGCCTTCCAGAAAATGTTCTTAAATATTGACCATGTTTTTGATGCTTAGAAGGATGGGAATAAGGAGAGAAATAGCTTTAACTTGAGTAATCCCAGAAAGAACTGTTGAGAGAAGAGTTAACAGGCTATAAGTGTAAGTCTTATCATCAGCTATACATTGGCAGATTTATGGAGTGTCTACTTTATGGAAGACACTAGGAATAATAATTATAAGATTATAATATTATAATAATAATAATTCTAGGATCATGTCCTAGAATTCAAGTAGTTCACAATGTTGTTGAGGATTTTGGTCACATAGTTGTGAGGCTTATTCTAGGGGTCTATGGGCATAGATCATCAAAGCTTAAATATTAACACAATGGCTTCAGAACTTCATCGTGCATCAGAATCACCTGGGGCTTATAAAATACAGATTGATGGATTCTACCCTCAGATTTTCTGATTCATTGGGTCTGGGATGGGGTTGAAAATTTGCATTTTTATCCAGTTCCCAAGTGATGCTGTTGCTGTTGCTCTGGAACTCATACTTTGAAAATCAGTGCCTTAAGAACATTTAAGTAAAACCAATTCCAAATAGGCATCAATATGTGAGTGAGATTAAAATCAGTACCTGGACACTTAAATTTAAAACAGCCTTTTGTGGTGTATTGTGTAAAGGAAGATTACGTTGCATAAATTTTATGTCAGGTTTATTGTGTCATATATTTTGTCCATGGATCTATTAATACTACTTGAGCTATCTTGGATTCTGGTGTTCATGCAGTTTGACACGGGACTGAGTTGCATTGAGGAATTTTTCCTGCTGTTAGACTTTCACATGGATGAGAATAATTCTAAATTCTGTATTATATTAAAATACCACTAAATTTAGACCATTATACAATTGACTTTGCTTGTATTCTTTCTTTTGGTTAAATTTGTTTCCAATCCTAATTTAAATCTTGCCTGTCAACCTAATTCTGGTTTATGAAGTATTAAAAGTGTGTGTGTGTGTATATGTATTAATATATATGTATTTTTATTGAGATACATACATACATTACATAAAAATTTACCTAAAGTGCAAAATTCAGTGGTTTTTAGCACAGTCACAGAGTTGTGCAACCATCACTGCAACCCAATTTTAGAACATTTTCATCATTTCAGAAAGAAACCCTGTACCCATTGGTAGTCATTCCCCATTCCTCCTCTTTCATTCCCACTCATATCCTGGGCAAGCACTAACTGTCTGTCTCTATAGATTTGCCTATTCTGGAGATTTCATATAAATACAATCATATAATATGTGGTCTTTTGTGACTGGCTTCCATTTAGCATGATGTTTTCAAGATTCATCTATGTTGTAACATGTAACATGTATCATGTAACATGTATTTCTTTTTAAATAGCTGGATAATATTTTACTGTATGGATGTACAACATTTTGTGTATCTGTTTGTCAATTGATAGGCGTTTGGGTTGTTTCTACTTTTTTGGCTATTATGAGTGAGTAATGCTGCTGTGAACATTTGTGTATAAGTTTTTGTTTAGATATATCTTTTTATTTCTCTTGGGTAGATAAGTAGGAATGGAATTGATGGGTCACATGGAAACTCTATGTTTAACATTTTGAGGAACTACTAAACTGTTTTCCAAAGTAACTGCACCATTTTACATTCCCACCAGCAATGTATGAGTTTCTAGTTTCTTCACATCCTCACTAACACTTATTATATCTTTTCTGTCTTTTTGATTATAGATTATAGCCATCCTAGTGGATGTGAAGTGGTATCTCATGGTTTTGATGTGCCATTTCTTTAATGATTAATGATACTGAGCATGTTTTCATGTGCTTATTGGCCATTTGTATATCTTCTTTGGAGAAATATCTATTCAAATCCTTGCCCATTTAAAAATTGATTTACATGTCTTTTATTGTTCAATTGTAAGAGTTTTTTATATATTCTGGATATAAGTCTTTTATCAGATATAATATTTACAAATATTTTCTCCCATTCTATGGATTGTCTTTTTACTTTAATGATATTTGGTATCATTTGCAGCATAAAAGTTTTAAATTTTGATATTTTGATGAAGCTTTTGTTTTTTTTTTGTTTTTTTTTTTTTGAGACAGAGTCTCGCTTTGTTGTCCAGGCTAGAGTGAGTGCCGTGGCGTCAGCTAGCTCACAGCAACCTCAAACTCGCTGGGCTCGAGCGATCCTTCTGCCTCAGCCTCCCGGTAGCTGGGACTACAGGCATGCGCCACCATGCCCGGCTAATTTTTTTTTAATATCAGTTGGCCAATTAATTTCTTTCTATTTATAGTAGAGACGGGCTCGCTCTTGCTCAGGCTGGTTTCAACTCCTGACTGAGCAATCCGCCCGCCTCGGCTTCCCAGAGAGCTAGGATTACAGGCGTGAGCCACCGCGCCCGGCCTTTTGTTTTTTTTTTAATCAATAGTGCTTTTGGTATTGTATGTAAGAAACCATTGCCTATGCCAAGTTCATGAAGATTTACTCCTATATATTCTTCTAACAGTTTTATAGTTTTAGCTCTTACATTTAGATCTGTGGTCCATTTTGAGTTAATTTTTGTATGTGGTATGAGGTAGGAGTCCAACTGCATTCTTTTGTATGGGGGTTATCCAGTTGACCCAATGCCATTTATTCTTTTCCATTGAATTATGTAGACACCCTTGTCAGAATTAACTGATCATAAATTTAAGGGTTCTAGACTCTTAGTTCTGTTTCATTGATCTTGGTTTGATAAACATTTGTACTAGTATTTTTTGAGTTTTTTCCCAGAAGTGATTACATTTTCTATGTGAAACGTTTTTCTTTTTAGCTTTAAAAAAAGTTACTAGGCAGTAGAAATTACCAAATTAGATATACTTATTTTTTTTTTTTTTTTTGAGACAGAGTCTCGGTTTGTTGCCCAGGCTAGAGTGAGTGCCGTGGCGTCAGCCTAGCTCACAGCAACCTCAAACTCCTGGGCTCGAGCGATCCTTCTGCCTCAGCCTCCCGAGTAGCTGGGACTACAGGCATGCGCCACCATGCCCAGCTAAATTTTTATATATATATCAGTTGGCCAATTAATTTCTTTCTATTGATAGTAGAGACGGGGTCTCGCTCTTGCTCAGGCTGGTTTTGAACTCCTGACCTTGAGCAATCCGCCCGCCTCGGCCTCCCAAGAGCTAGGATTACAGGCGTGAGCCACAGCGCCCGGCCAGATATACTTATTTTTTAAAATAACACACTTGTAAGCTATTTTAGGCAGAAAATTTTGAGGAATATAAGATTTTAGGCTTTTTGTGGTAGCTCTTTTTTTAGCATTCATTTTTGTTTGGCTTATTTAAAAATGATTATAATTTGGATAATTGCTAGAAAAAATGTACACATTTACATTGGTATTATTATGCAAGACAGAAAGTACTGAAAAGAAATGTCTAAGAAGTGGCAAAATTCAAATGAGTATGACGTTTACTTGTGTAAAGAGGCTGCATTCTGTTGTATCACTGCATTCTGAACACCAGTTTGTTAAAAACTATAGGAGTAATATTTCTGAAAATATTAATGAGTCTTCATTTTATGACTCTTACAAATATATGTTGTCTGCATTCCTTTTCATCTTTTCAGAGGCTACCTTGCTGCTTGATTTTTGTTTTCTTGGGGGGCAGAGAGCACATATTGTTCTTGGGAAGGCATTATTGGCTTATTATCATCTTCCTGTTTTATGTGCATGCCACTAAACAAGGTTCCCCAAACTGCTTGTATTTTGCAAAAATGCATCTTTATGTGTTTGTGCCAGTGCTATAATTTCCTGTTATATTGCATATATGCAGGAACATATTTTAGATATCAGGCTGATGACTTTAACTCTTTTTTAGGAGTCTTTGTCTGAAGTAGAAGAAAAATACAGGAAAGCCATGGTTTCTAATGCACAGTTAGACAACGAGAAGAACAATTTGATTTACCAAGTAGACACACTCAAGGATGTTATTGAAGAACAGGAGGAACAGATGGCAGAATTTTATAGAGAAAACGAAGAAAAATCAAAGGTAATTGCTCATCTTGTATTACACTATTCTCTTGGATCAGAAAAGAAAAACCTGCCATTTAAAAAGTGGTGGGATTGGTGGAAGATTCCAACATACTTACTTGGGAATGTTTCAGTCAAAACTGAATAGTCCAAGGGAATTGACAGAATATCATAAGATATTAAGCCCTGAAATATTTTCCTTTTTTAATTTAAAAAAAAATTATTTTCTTAAGGAAAAGTTTATGTCCTTCTTTGGGTTTCTGAAAATAGAACACAACTCAAGTTTTATCTTTATTTTCTATCTCTTAATTGGGACAATTAGAGTGAACTAATTTCTTCCTGTTGTTGTAAGTGGCCGGGACTCCCACAAAGCTCCAAAGACTCTCAGTAATGGTTCATTTATTTTATGAACTTCTAAAGGGTTCAGAAGAACCCATTTGCTAAATAATTGTAGAGAAGTCTTTAACCCATTATTTAAAAACAGCATTGTGGGTCAGAAATTGACAAATGTTTTCTTTAGAGGTTCATAAGCTATAATGTTAAAATGTACAGATGGAAAATAACAGCCACTGTCCAAGGTCCAGATTTGCTCTTTGACAGCTGCAGAAAACAAATTGGGTTGTTTTAAAAGCTTGTTAGACTTAGACTTTCTAAAGTGTTGATGTCAGTCCAAGCAGAGGACAAATGGATATTATTGGCAGAAATGAGTTGCTACTTCATTGCCAAAATTTAAAAAATCCAGAAAATAATTTATGAAATGTGTATTGATAAATTGTTAGAAAAAACAATTTGAATTTGCACATCATAACCTCTAAGGGGCCAGTATTATTACTGTAGTCTTTACAGGGATTTTTTTCCTTTGAGGACTAGAAATGCCCATTCCAATCTGTTTTGATCATGTTCAAAAAGTGTTAGAAAGTGTTTGCCAGGAGTTTAGGGGAGGGAGGAATGAATAGGCAGAACACAGAGGATTTTTAGGACAGTGATACTATTCAGTGTGATACTATAATGCTGGATATCTGTTATACATTTGTCCAAACCCATAAAATGTACAACACCAAGTGTGAACCCTAATGTAAACTATGGAATTTGGGTGATGATGGCATGTCAACATAGGTTTATCAGTTGAAACAAACATACCACTCTGGTGTGGGTTGTTGATAATAGGGGAGACTGTGAATGTGTGGGGACAAGGTGGGGGTGTACGTGGGGACTCTATACTTTCCACTTGATTTTACTGTGAACCTAAAACTGCTCTAAAAATGAGGTATATTAAAAAAAGGTTAGGATAAGAGGACTTGTGTTTAGATATGTGAAAAAGAGGGTGTTTTTATATTGGCTCCATAGTGGCCTGTTGAAAAGTATGATTTGATGGCAATAGGTGGTTTTCTCTTTGATTCTTCTTGTATCTAATGGGCCATTTTGGAGATTCTGAGCCATCATATACTTTACCTAGAGTCCTATGGACTCCTTTTTCGCTTTCTCACACATTTTCTTATCTATTTCTAGCTCTGTTTCTAGGAAATCAGAGGAAAATCTGATGCTAAGTATTTATTGGTACTAAAATGAGTTATCTTTCCATCTTCTCATATGTCCTCAATCATTTTTAAAAATAAAAAAAAACCCTGTGATTAACTATTTTAACCAACTTAGTTTTTCCCTCTATCATTTTCTAAGATACAGAGATAGCTTAGTATGCATAGAGTTTTTTAAAAATCTACTTTCAAACTTAAAATTCATAAGCTTTTTATTTATTTATTTATTTATTTTTTTTGAGACAGAGTCTCGCTTTGTTGCCCAGGCTAGAGTGAGTGCCGTGGCGTCAGCCTAGCTCACAGCAACCTCAAACTCCTGGGCTCGAGTGATCCTTCTGCCTCAGCCTCCCGGGTAGCTGGGACTACAGGCATGCGCCACCATGCCCGGCTAATTTTATATATATATATCAGTTGGCCAATTAATTTCTTTCTATTTATAGTAGAGACGGGGTCTCGCTCTTGCTCAGGCTGGTTTCGAACTCCTGACCTTGAGCAATCCGCCCGCCTCGGCCTCCCAAGAGCTAGGATTACAGGCGTGAGCCACAGCACCCGGCCTCATAAGCTTTTTAAAATACTCTGGAAATCAGTTTCCCATGCTGTGATGCAGAAGGCTTTTTGATAATCTCTCTCTCTCTAACATACATTTACCTTGAATGCTTTTGTTCTAGACAGATAATGTGTCATGCAGTAGAATGTTCACATTCAAATACAAAGAGGCTGGGTACTCTGGTATATTTCATGATAGCAGCAGATGGTGAGAATAGAGAAGGACCATTCAATAACAATAATAATGATACAATATTAATAACATTTTTCAAAATGCCTTTAGTGCTTCCTGTTGGAATTATGATAGCTATATTTTAAATATTGTCTCTATGACTACTTTAGAGACAGAATGCCTGATTGGGAATGTCTTGAGTATATTATTCTCTTAAAATAGCTATTCATTTTAATAGGATTACCTTATGTGACATTTTTAAAGTATGTTTTATTATGGATTTTAAAAGTACAAAAATGTAGACAGAAAATATGTTTTAGTGTGGATTTTAAACATACAAAAATGTAGACTGAGGAATGTAATGAACCTGCTTGAACCCATCACCTGCCTCCCAGTCACCATCAACCCATGGTCAGTTTTGCACTGTTCACTTCCCCTACTCATATTTTAAGCAAGTTCTAAGCATCCCATATTTTAATACAGATTGTGATATGGCTCTCTAGGCAATAAGGGCTCTCTCTCTTTTAGAAGCATAATCAAAAGACAATTTCATACCTGAAAATTAATAACAATTCCTACATATTACATATTCAATCATTAAGATTTCAGTAGTTTTAAAATGTCATAAATAATTTTTCTTTTTTACATTAAAAAAGTAATCAGGATCCAGATAAGTTCCACACCTTGTTATTAGTTGATGTCTTTTAAATCTCTTTTGATTTATAGGTTCCCTTTTATCTCTTTTTTTTCCTTACAATTTATGTATTAAAGAAACTGGATTGCTTGTCCTAACCATTTCTCAGACTTACAGATTTTTCTGCTTTCATCCCCATGGCATCTTTACGATGTTCCCTTTATAGAGGCTCAGTGAAATTAACTTCAGCTTTTTGGCAAGTCTGCTTCATAGGTGGTGCAGTTTACCTTCTTTCAGGAGGCCCAGATCTGTGGCTGTCTCTTTGTGATGCTTTCTCTGGCTGCTTAAATCCTTTAGTTGATCAGGGGCTGCAAAATGGCATATTTTGATTTTATCATTATGGATTGATTTATTTAATCTTATGGAAAAATTTTAAAAAGTTTTATTGAAATATTCACATACCATACAATTCATCCATTTAAAACTACCATCACAGTCACTTTCAGAATATTTTCATTACCTCAAAAAGAAACCATATACCCTTTAGCCTTTTAGTTGTCATATTCCTATCCCCCAACCCCCTCAGCCCTAAGTAACCACCGATCTACTTTTTGTCTCTATGGAGTTCCCTATCCTAGACTTTCATATGAATGGAATCAAATAATTTTGTGGTCTTTTGTAACTGGCTTTTTTTTTTTTTTACTTAGCATAATGTTTTCAGTGTTTATCCATTTTGCACCATATATCAAAACTTTATTCCTTCTAATTGCCTATTATTCCACTGTGTAGATATGCCACATTTTGTTTATCTCTTTGTGCTGATGGACCTTTGGGTTGTTTCTGCTTTCTGGCTGTTATGAATAATGCTGCTGTTAACATTGTGTACAGTTTTTTTGCATGGAGATGTTTTGATTTCTCTTAAGTGTATACTTGGGAGTGGAATCGTGGAATTATTGGTTCATATGGTAACTATGTTTAACTATTTGAAGAATGTCAGACCGTTTCTAAAGCATCTGCATCATGTTACATTCCCACTAGCAGTGTATGTGGGTTCTGATTTCTCTAAATCCTCCCAACACTTTTTTATTCTTGCCATCCTAATGGGTGTGGTTTTGATTTGCTTTTCTCCGGTGACTAATGATTTTGAACATATTTTCATGGGCTTATTGGCTATTCGTATATCTTCTGTAGAGAAATGTCTATTCAGATCCTTTGCTCATTTTAAATTGGATTATTTGTCTTTTTATTATTGAGTTGTAAGTGTTGTTTCTATATCTTTTATTGGATATATGATTTTCAAATATGTTCTCCCATTCTGTGGGTTGTGTTTTTACTTTCCTATGCTTTGTTAGCTTAAGTCCATCTTTAAAGAGAAGCATCTTTGTCTCTTTATTACTCAGATGAGACAGTTTACATAGCAAAGGTGAGATAAAACCCTGATTCTTTGCCTTTATTTATGAGTTTTCAAAATACAGACTTGGTTGTTTAGCATCCTTTCCTAGTGATCAAGTACTTTTCTTTTTAAAATACCATTATGAAGTCATGAATTCAAGCATTTGATATTTTCAATGCATTGCAGCTTTTATTCTTCTTGATGCTTAAATTGTCCCACCTTTTGCTAATATGAACCTCTTCAGGTTGATTACTAAGTATTTTTGATGAGTCTAATTGTTTTGCTAGCTTCTCTGCTTTCTGCTAGAAGATGTTCCAGTCTCATCTTGTACATTTTCTGCCCCATACTTGGAATCAGCCACTTGTCCAAGGAGCCCTAGTTGTCTTTTAGTGGAGCAGTATGGGTACTTATTGCCACCCAATTGGTCACTATTTATAGGACTTTTCAGTGGATATATCTGGGAAATATGTCTGTGGGGATTTTTTTGTTTGTTTTTTAACAACAATATATTATGAGTTCATGCTGATAGTTCCAATTCATATTCAGGGTGTTAGTGTTTTTACTTAACATCTTCTGTCTTACATCTGTATCTACTTTTTCCCACACTACAAATCCTAGTTTCAAAGTCACTGGGGAATGATAGTAATTATGGTGTATTCTATTCTTATTGCTTTATCCCACATTACCAAGAATAGCAGTACCAATGCTAACACCAACAATGTAATTACTGAAAATAGTTAAAAGTTAGTTATTTTGTTTTGTTTGGCTGTTATTTTTGCCACTAGGCTGTGCATAGCTAAACTATTGTTTTTAGAAGCTACTTCAAATAGTTTCTCTGTGCTTATGCTACTAACTGGATATACAGTTAGGTTCACTGCATTTTATTTTCAGTATTTAGGAATTACTTTTTAAATTTTTTATTTTTAATTATGGTTAAAAAAACATATATCACAAAATTTACCATCTTAACCATTTTAAGGTGTGCAATTCAGTAGTGTTAAATATATTCGCGTTGTTGTGCATCAGATCTCCAGAATGTTTTCATCTTATAAAACTTAAACTTTATACCCATTAAACAGTTGCTCATTTCTTTGTGCCCCAAGCCCTTGGCAACCACCATTCTACTTTCTGTCTCTATGAATTCAGCTACTCCATGTACCTCATATAAGTAGAGTCATACAATTTGTTTTTTTGTGACTGGCTTATTTCACTTAGTATAATGTCTTTAAACCTTGTCCATGTTTGTAGCATGTGACAAGAGTTCCTTACTTTCTAATGCTGAGCAGTGTTCCACTGTATATATACTACATTTGGTTTATCCATTCATCTGTTGATGGTCACTTGGGTTGTTTCCAGTAGGAAGTGCTTTTTAAACTTAATTTTGTTTTACAATTCTGTAAAATAGTTGCGTAGATCTTAAGTCAGATCAACAAAGGTATTTGAATAAGTTAATTGATCTGTCATTCATCCATATTTCCTACTTAGAGAAATTTTAAATTTAATGGTTTATCTATTTTTTAATCTAAGAAGATATATTAGCCATTTTAATCTAATGTGACCATTCAAAATATATATACAAATATATGTATTTGTAACCCTCCTTTCTTAGAAAAATAGTAGCATACTATAAATGTTATTCTGCACCTTGATTTTTTATCACCTTATAAATGTAGTATAGAGAAACTTTCCTTAATCTTTTTCACCACTGCATAGCTATTTCATTGTGTGGATGTACTACACTTTATTCTACCACTTCCCTATTAATAGATATTAAAGTTGTTTGTGTATTTTGCTGTTATGAAATAGTCCTGCAAAAATAACATACTGCTTAAGACTTTCTATATTTTTGCCAATGTGTCTATGATAAAGAGTCATTCTTAAGTATGGTGTTTCTGGATCAAAAGGCATGTAGTTTTGGAAGATACTGTCAGATTCCCCTTTGTAAGCAATAAACCATTTTGCATTCCCACCAAAATGTATGAGAGGGCCTGTTTCCCTCCCCATAGTTCTTTCCCAGAATATACTGTCAGATATTTGAACACAAAACTAGTGTTTTGGTGACACATATGGTTTTAGTTTGCATTTCTCTCAGTGTGAGCATCTTTTCATATCCAGAGCTATTTCTATTTCTTTTTCTATAAACTGTCCAATTCTTTAGCTTTTTTTTGTGTTCAGTTAATTTTTTTTTCTTTCTAATTTTAGAGGTTCTCTATATGGGGAGATAGTCACCCTTTGTCTTGATATAAATTGTAACTTTTTTTTGCACTTTGTCATTTGGTCTTTTTACTTTGCTTGCATCTTTTGCCATTCAAAAGTTTTAATTTTTATGTAGTCTAGTTTATTGTTCCTTTCTCCTTATCACTCGTGGATTTTTGAGGCATTTTTTAGTTAAAGTTTCCCCCACTCTTTGGCTGTTTTCTTTTAGTGCCTGTATAGTTTGTTCTGCTTTCCCTTGTCTTCCCTTCCCACTTCCCCCTTCCATTCCCTGCCTTTTCTCATGTACACTTCTGATCCATTTGGAATTTTGTCCTGTGTAAGGTATGGTTCCAATTTTATCTTTTTCCAAATAGATAGCCAGTTATCCTAACATCATTAATTTCAAAGTCTATTTTCTCATTGATTTGAGATGCTCTTTTTGTTATTGGTGTTTAATATATTTGTATATCTAATTGGATCTATCTCTGAATTTTCTATTCTGTTTCATTGATCTATATTCATGTGCCATTACAACATTGTTTTAATTATAGAGGCTTTATAATATGTCTTAATATCTAATAAGGCTACCTTCTTTTTCAGTATTTTTTTTTTCTGGCTAGTTTTTTTTCAAATAAACTTTGTAATCAACTTATCTTGCTCTGATGAGGAAAAAACTTGATGGTTTTTTTTTTTTAGATTAATTTAGGGAGAACTGGCATTTTTATGATGTTGAGGCTTTTTATCCAAGAAGATGGTATGCCTTTCCATTTGCTAATCCTCCTTCTCTGTCTTTTAAAAATGTTTTATATAATTTCTGTCATATAGGTTTTTGATTTATCTTGTAAGTTTATATGTGTTTTATTTAATATTGATTTTGATACTGTGTTTATTCTTTCGGATTTTGTTTGTTATCTACGAAGGTTATTGAATTTTATATGTTAATTCTATAATCTGTTACTATGCTAAATTATCTCATTGTTTATAGTAATTTTGCCATTGATTAGTCTGGGTTTTCTAGAGATATGATCATATGAAATGAAAATTTAAAATTTTCTGAACCTTTCCATAGACTACACAATTTTTCTAGGTTACTAGGAATCAGCAGTTTGGACCTGTTTTTAACGTCATATTTAGCCTTGACATTGTATATGTTTGCCCTGGTTGTGTGCCATGACCTGTGTAAATGATATTATTTGTTTAATCACAGGAGTTAGAAAGGCAGAAACATATGTGTAGCGTGTTGCAATATAAGATGGATGAACTTAAAGAAGGTCTTCGGCAAAGAGACGAACTTATTGAGGTATGTACATGAATGGTGGAAATGCTTCACTTTGAAAAAAAATGAGTTGGATGGAGAGGAGAGTTAAAATGCTACAAAGCGTTTACTTGTTTCTTTATATTTAGTTGTACTCTAAAATTTTACAAACGTGAAACATAAAGGCAAGCTTAAAAATTAATACTATGAACCCTATAAACATACCCCCTTTTAATAGCAGAAGTTTTTGTAATTGTCTTTATTCCTAAGCATACTCTTTTCTAATGACATCTTAGGAAATGGGCAGTAGGGAAAATTACAGAGTAATGTTATTCTTTGGGACCTAGTGAATGCCATCTTTTGGGGCATGATTCTTGGGGAATAAGTTTGATCTTCACTCAGGTAGATATGTTTCTGAGGTGGCTCAACGAAAAAGAATAAATTGTCAGGATACCTCATACACAAAAAGGTGAAGGTTGGCTAGTGAGGAAGTTAAAGTTTTTGCTCTGGCAGTGAAGGAATTCTGTGTGCCACATTGTTAGCAACATCTTAGGAAAGGGACAGATCATAGTCTATCAAGAACTTTTTGAAAGCATTTATCATCCTTGAGGACCTACTACCTTGCTTTCATCTTTGTTATTTTCTCCCCCCCCCCCCGCCCCCTGCCATCCCCTGCTTCCATGTTTGCAGGTATTCATCTCTGTTGTTCTTTAACTGTGGTTTTCCCTCTTGAGGGTGGTGGTTTTTCATAAACATGAAACTAAGTTTGAGGGGGATCCTGCCCACCATCTAGGTGTGGTTATCAAGGGCATCCAATGCTAATTTAGCATTAGATATTAGGAAGCCTAGCTGGTAATGGTACCAGGGGAGATACCTAACTTAACAAAATTCATCCACATTCCTGGCTACTCAGACCTCAGCCTCTCTTTTCCCTCCCTCTTTCCCCTCAGACCTGCCTCACTTAATTTCTCTCCCTGTAAGTGACTTAAAAAAAATTTAATAGAGGAAAAGAAATGACCATTTCTGTATTTGAGGATTGGTGTTATTTTTCATTATTGTTAAGAATAATTGAACATACTCAGAAATTGTGAATTTTAAATACAGGTACAGATAACCCTTTGGATATATCAGATTATATGTGACGTTAATTTTCTTAGTTTTTCTATATATATGGTAGGAAGCATATTATCCAAATTGTGTATCCTACTGGTATTTAAAAATAATGTGAAATCCTTTCTCGTATTGTCCTTTTATATTTTTGTGTCAATAAGCCAACTTTTTCTAGTTTAGATATATACTTTCCCCCTTTAAGTTTCAAAAGAATAATAAAATTACTTGAGGCCTGCTTCTTAGAGTCAGTAGCTTAAATTAGGATTGGTTAAATGTTCTAGTTTTTTTATTGTAATTGCATTTTAAAAGAATTATAATGCTTGATTTCTATAATTTGTCACTGTGACTTCTCTAAAAGCCCAGGATGCTGGCTACACAAACTTTAAAAACTTTAGTTTTAGGTGTTTTTTATTTTATTTTTTGTTTTTTGAAACAGAGTCTCACTCTGTCACCTGGGCCAGAGTACAGTTGTGTCATCATAGCTCACTGCAACCTCAAATTCCTGGACTCAAGTGATCCTCCTGTCTCAGCCTCCTGAATAGCTGGGACTACAGGTGTAGGCCACCACACCCAGCTACATTTTGTATTTTTTGTAGAGATGGGGTCTCTCTGTGTTGCCCAGGCTTGGATGTGTTTTGTGTCTAGAATTAACATCTTTTAGATGTTGGTATCTGTGGTTATACACAACTGAAATACCTTAAATATGACAAATAATGCCTTTTGATCTTTAGAATTGAGAATTGCATCGTCAAGTAGATAATATATGACTAGGGAAAGTAGGAGATGATAATTTGCCAATAATGCATAAGAGGAAAATTTGTTAATTGTAAGGGGGTATACATTTAGCATCATTACCTAATTGAAAGAGTCATTTAAGAATTGCTGAATGTTAAATTCTAGTTTTTCTAAAAACTGATATTTCCTTTATAATTGGTGATGTTCTTGCTTATATAGACCTCCTAATGGAAATTCAGAATCATCAGTTCTGTTTTAAAAAATAAAATTCAAAATTACTGCTTGTTCTCTATGATAAGGACCATTTGTTTATAGCAAACCTAAATTTCCCGCTGTAGAAATGTAAGTTTGTTATTTGAAAAAAAGGCAGTTATCAGCAGAAGACACATATGGAGCTAGATGTACACAGAAACCCTTGCTGGTTTGTAGCCACATAGCTGTGGTTGGGACAGTTATTCCCAGTTTTCTTGCTTGCTTTTGCAGGGGTAAGCCAATCAGAATCACTTGCCAAGACTCTGATGTCATCTTTCCTTTTAAAAAGCAAACTGCTTTTTCCTGTTCATCATAGACTTTCCCCTTTTAAGTTTCTTTATCAGCTGTATTTTTGTTTCTTCCCTCTAACTCCCTCCCTTTTTTCTTTCTGTTCTTTTATTACTTCTCTTCCCCTCTTCCTCTGCAGGAGAATCAGCGCATGCAACAGAAACTAGACACCATGACAAAAGAGGTGTTTGACCTCCAGGAGACACTTCTTTGGAAAGATAAAAAAATTGGGGTATGAGATGAAATTGGGCTTTAGAAGTTCATTGATGTTAGAAGTTCATTGATGAGGAATAGAACAATAGAATTTAACTTAGAGATTCCTAAGAAACCTGTCCTTTTGATTATTCCCGATCATTTATACAATGTGAAATAGGAATAAGCAGAAGACAGGCTTACATGGGAAAACCCGATACTATGCCTGGAAAAAACTCTTCTTTCCAGTCGACACTGGGGTTGTGCAACATACAAGTAGGAACATTTAAAGGAAGTTTCTCTTTATTCCCCAAGGATTCTTATTCAGAAGCAGCCACAGGCATTTAACTCTAACTCTGTGGTTAATTTGATATCCTTACAGTACAAGAATTTGGAGTGGGCGTGGGGAAATGCTATTAGCATCCTATAAATCCTTGGTGAATAAAATAGGACAAGATTAAAATCAGTTTAATTGCGGAAGTGGATAGGAATGTAAGACTTTCCAAAGTCACCATCTCTAATTATAACCCCAGAATCTCCCAAAGCAGGGGCCCAGATAAGGAAAAAGTCTTCATTGCTTTTTTTTTGTTAAGCTCTGCAAGTAGATTCTAAGAACATGGAGGCTCTGCAGGTAGATTCCAAGAACATGGAGGCTGAAAAAATTCCCATCAGTTCATCTCATGTGGCCAGTTCATCTCATAGCCTTTTGCCATGCCTGGCAATCCCATTGCCTGGCATGAGCTGTCTGTTCTGCAGGAGGGCAACCATTAGCTGTAGCTGACAGAGGCTTACCTTGTCAGGGAAGGGCTATGGCAGAGGAAACCAAATAAGTGAGAAAAGTCTTGTTCTTCTTGAGGTTAGGTGGGATAGAGGAAAGTTGGCAAAATCTCCTTAGAGCTCCTGTGAGAAATATGCGTGGATATGAGACCCTCTGGATCCTACCTCCGTTGTTAAGAGCATTCTGAAACCCAGCCAGCAGTATCCAGTCCTGTCCATCAATCACTACAATGACCCATCCTCTCCTTAATAAACACATGGAAAGACCACATTGTTTTTTAAGAGTTTGTAGACCAAAAATTTAAAGAACTGAAGCTACTTTTATAGATAGCTTTTCTGATGTTAAAATTATTGAGGTTTAGAAATTCCACCCAAATCTAGAAAAGCCTTCTGGAGGATAAATCAACAACTCTGTTAGGCATTTTGAAATTGTGATTGTGAACTAATGATTTTAGTTAAACTTTTACTTGGGTTATTTAAAATGAGATGTTGAAAAATATGTGGCACAAAGCAATTTGTAAATATTAGTTAAAATTTGGTCACTATCTACAATGGGCTTCTTTTAGGACCATATGTAATTTTCTTTAGCACAGATCTGTTGGTTCCAGATTTATAATTTGTATAATTGTCTTAGTATTTTAAACTGATTATCTTGGACTAACCATAGAAAAAACCCCAAACCAGTGAAATAGCTATTCAAAACAAAACAAAAACAAATTTTTTTTTGTTACCAAAAAGGTATGCTTATGGTTAAGATATAAATTATTTGGCTTTTTAAGTGTCTTGGCATTTATTGCGTGAGTGCGTGAGTGTCTTTATTCTGTGTGCTATGCAATAATGTGTTCCTTTGATTTTTTTAATTAAACTTTTTTATTTTGAGAAAATTTTAGATTCATATGCAATTGTAAGAAATAATACAGAGATCCTATATACCCTTTACCTAGTGTTCCCCAAATATAACATCTTGCAAAGCTATGATACACTACCAGGATATTGACCTTGATACAATTAAAATACAGAACATTTCTATCACCATAAGTTATCATTCCTCTTTCCCTGTTATAGCCATATCTACTACCACCCCACCCTCTCTCTGAAGCTCCGGGAACAACTAATCTGTTCTCCATTTCTATAATTTTGCCATTTTAAGATTGTTATATAAATGGAATCATATAGCATATGACCTTTTGGAATTAGCTTTTTTCACTCAGTATAAGTCCCTCAAGATTCATCCAAGTTGTTGCGTATATCACTAGTTCATCCATCCCTTGACTCTTTTTGAATTTGAAAAATTTTGCTAAAATACAAAAAGCATAATATTTATCATTTTAACCATTTTTAAGTGTACAGTTCAGTGGCATTAAGTACATTCACATTGTTGTACCACTGTCACTACCATCCATCTCTAGAACTTTCTCATTTTTCCCAGCTGAAACTCTGTACTTATTACACAACCCCATTTTCCCCTTCCCCCAAGACCCTGGCGGCCTCCCTTCTACGTTTTGTCTCTGTGACTACCTAGAGTAGTCAGATTCATAGAGACAGAACCTCTACCTCATATAAGTGGAATTATACAATGTTTGTCCTTTTGTGACTGTCTTATTTCACTTAGCATAATGCCCTCAAGGTTCCTGTTGCAGCAGATGTGAGAATGTCCTTACTTTTTAAGGCTGAATAATATTCCATTTTATGTATATACCACATTCATGTTGATGGGCATTTGGGTTGCTTCCACCTTTGCCTATTGTGAATAATGCTGCTGTGAACATAAGAGTACAAATATCTCTTCAAGACCTTGCTTCCAGTTGTTTTGGGTATATAATCAGAAACAGAATTGCTGGATTGTATAGTAATTCTATGTTTAATTTTTTTAAGGAACAGCCATATTGTTTTCTATGGTGGCTGTACCATTTTACTTCCCATCAGTAGTGCACAAGGGTTCCACTTCCTCTGTGTCCTCGCCAACACTTGTTATTTTCTTTTTTATTGATAGTAGCCATCCTAATGCATGTTTGGTGGCCCTCCTTTCACTTTTAAAGGACACATTTTCAGTATGGTTAGTGACTACCTAATGCATCACTTGTCTCTAACTTAATTTAGATTAAAATTTTAAGATTTAAATTTAGTAACTTAATGAAGAACATTATTCCTAGGTTAAAGTTCAGCTTTCTTTAGTTTTCCTTCTCTAGTCATCTTGCTTCCAGCTCTCCTGCAGTTCTGAGCACCAAGAGCCCATGTGTAGAAGAGGTGCATACAAAGAATGTGTATATCTTAAAGCTCAGCATAAACTCAGTCCCATTCTGACTAAAGATATTTATGCCCCAGGGCAATTATATGGAGAATTAACCTGTTTCCCAAAAGTTCAGCCCATTATACATATCCTTTTGGCTTCTTGATGCTAGAATTTGAGGTTAGGTCAGAGATAAAGAATTATTTCAGTCTCCACAAGCATGTACTTTTTACCCTAAAATAAAATCCACCATAGGAGCCATTGTTGCATGCAAACACAAGGGTGGTGGTTTTATGGTCAGGTAATACAGAGGATTTCAGATCCAGCGAGAATACATTTGATCCAATTATAAGGTATTTTAGTGGTGTTCAAACTTTGTGGTAAAATGGGTGAATTTACAGGATATATTTTATTTTCCCATCTATAATTATGGGAAGATGAAATTAAAAAGTCCAAAAGTAAAAATAAAATCCAGTGCTGTAAGATGTGGAAGAGGAACAAATGTCATGTCCTGGCATTTGCTAGAATTCCTAGTTCCAAATTGGCCTGTTCCTAAGAGGTATTCAGCAGTGTTGTGTATATAGAGCATGTTGTGACAATGATCATTTACTCAGTTATATGTGGTGATGCATGGCATAACTATGCACAGAGATACCAATAACCAAAAATATCTAACCCAATAAAGGTTAAAGTGACTTTCAACAGGTGGGAGAGTATTGCTGTACATTGTCCTCCTAATGTTTTATTTGTTATTAGTATAATGGAGAGTGAATACTAGCTTAAAGCATTATAGTAAATGCCTTATGGTGCTAGAAACCCAGATTACCAATCTGTAGGCAGATTTGAAACCCATCATACAGTTTTGAGTGTAAATTACTGAAAGGCAGTTAGATACTGACATTGCAGTTTGGGTAAGTGAAGAATAGGACTTGCCCTATGGACTGCTTTCCCAGCACCATCTGGGATGACAACAAGGGAATATAATGTGGCCTTCATAGGGCTGTGACGTAAAAAGAACTATGCAAGAGCTTTGGAAACACAAAGAACTGGACTCACTTGCTGACTTTGCCACTTACTGTGATTTTGGGCAAAAAGATAAACCCTTTGAGCCTCAATTTTCTGATCTGTAAAATGGGGATAATACAAGTACATACAGGAAGGTAGAAATTTCATATGTAAAATAATATATAAAGGAGAGATTATATGTATATAAAATAGTGCATGCCATATAATTTGGACTGTGCAAATGTTAGTTGCTATCATCCCAGTAAACAAGTAATAAATTTACTTATTCTTAATTTGGTTGCAGATTAGGATTATAATGATTTTAAAAATTGCCCAGCTATTCCGCTGCCAGTAACTAAGCAGTTTATTGTCCCACTTCTGAACCCAATAAACTGAGAGGAAAGTACCCATTATAGTTTAACTTCTTAGACTAATGGGAATGCTAGCAGAAAACTTTAAATGTATGAACAAATATGGGGAGAAAGGCTTTTCAAATAGGCCAGCTGTCAGGTTCCTACGTAGACTACTTAATTTGGGTGTGTTATTTTATTACATAATTACAGCAGATTTGATTTGTCACTGAAGACCAAATATGTTCCTCCAACTGCACTGTCCTCCTCAGCTCTGACACTTGTGAGATTCAGGAAATGGCAGGAAATTTACAAATGAAAACCCACCCTGATTTTCCTGAATCTTCTCTGTTAATATTAGGCACTGCCCTGCAGTGCTTTACCCTGAGTTCTCCTTGAAGCCCATAGGATGGGTGCTGTTATCCCTCCTGTTTTTCAGATGAGGAAACTGAGGCATAGGATAAGTATGTGCCAGGGCCCCAAAGCTTGAATCTGAGTGTTCTATATTCTGTTCCCTTCTCCATAGGTGGGCTGGATTTATTTTGTCAGTATTTTATTTTTGTTTTTTCACATTCTGAAAGTATCTCAGAAAACCAAATGAGTCTTAATTTTATTTAATTAAATTGACAGAAATAGATCCTTGAGAATCCTTTTGGAAATTATTTTGAATTAAGTAGTATTTGAGTATTTTGCCATACTACTTGGAGAACAATCATACAGCCAATATTTAATTAAAGTATCTTATGTTTGCTAGTTATTTTTAATTTTTTAAATCACATATATTCTTGAATAAACTGTTTTAGTTAAACATGAAATGTGGGGTTTTTTTGTTTCTCAAATGAAAATATACTGAGGAAGTTAGTAAGGAAAATTTTATTTTACTATTGCTGGTATCCTCATCTTTCTTTTCCTGTTCTTTTCATTGACTGGAAAAGAAAGATTTATTTCCCTGCTTGATGTGATAAGCATGTTTTGCTGAATTTATGCATGAAAACCAGTTTCTATTGAGCTCTGTTTTGGAGATATATTAATATTATACATCCATATAACCTTGTATTTCCTTCTACATCTGACTGCTTTGTTTCCAGGCTTTTGACTGCTTCCTTGCTTTTTATGTCTTTATCTTTGCTTATTTGAATTAGGAACTTCTCTGCTACCTTTCACCTGCTCTTTTTCTGTGCCATTCTTTCCCTTGCTACCCTGCCTAAAACCAGGCCCTAGAGAAACAAAAAGAATACATTGCCTGCCTTAGGAATGAGCGAGATTTGCTCAGAGAGGAGCTGGCTGCCCTGCAGGAGACAGTGAAGACGGGAGAGGTATGTTAGCACTAGCCTGGAGCTCAGGTCCCTCACTGCTTTACTCTACCTCCCCTTCCTTTCATCCATCCCGCCATCTTTCCAGCCTGCACACAAACTACAATGTTTATTCCCTAATCCAGATTTGGTAGGTTTGAGTCATTTCCTCCACAGAGCTATAGTCTATGTAACTAATTCTAACCAGGTTTTTGCCTGTGCCAAACATACATTGTTGCAGAGTTACCTCACAGAGTTTACTGCTTCTGTGTGAGCCATCTTTTGTGATGGTGAGTTTTTTTCTTCCCCACAGAAACATGGCTTAGTTATAATCCCCGATGGCACTCCCAATGGTGATGTCAGTCATGAGCCAGTGGTTGGAGCCATCACTGTTGTGTCTCAGGAAGCCGCTCAGGTCTTGGAGTCAGCAGGAGAAGGGCCACTAGGTAAGACTCTGGTTGCTATGTTGACTTGGATTAATGGTGCCCTGTTGGGCTTTCTGCTTTTTCATATCCCAGGTTGGAAAACAAAAACGACCTAAGGGCTGTCTGAGATTCAGTAGATCTTTAACAGGAAGAATCTGGGCACACTGTGTTCAGACATCCCTGACCTTGGGAAACCAGCATCTGGGTGATGTAAGGCAGTAAGTGTTACTGTAAGGAAGGCTGCTGGGCGGAAGCACTGTGGGTACATACACACTGCTTTTTCACTTCACTGCCAGCTGTTTGCAAAGAGATAGTCCAGTAAACCTGTCTCACGGAAGCAGTGGGCTGGCAGGGGACTTCCAGAGGATGTTTTAAGTTTCTTACTTCTGGAACATCTGGTTTTATGTTCTACTACTTATCCCAGGGTTCTGTAGCTCTTTGCCACCACATTGATTAAAGACAAGAAACAGATGACCAAGACCGTGGAGCAGGGCTTCTAAGCCTCTTAAAATCTAAGCCTCTTAAATTTAACTCTTTGAGAAACTAATGAGCCCTTTCTCTCCAGGAAACCACAAAGGTGCCCACCCATTGCCCCTTCTAAGAATCTACTCTAGAGGAAGAAAAATGCACAGATAGATACTGTATCCTCAGCCTACTTCTATTTTTTTAAAAATGTTCTTTTTCCCTTTTCATCTTGCTTTCATATATGCATAGGTTTCCTAGAGGAGTGGGAGATACTGTAAGAGTGAAGCAAACTGAAAAAACATTTTAAAGGTTAGCAAGTAAGCACATTCTGTAATGTGCAGAATTCCAGAAATGTAAAAGTAGAGCACTTTGATAAAGCAGGATGCTAGGTGAACGAAAGAGAAGAGCTACAGAATGAAATTGGTATATGGCTGTGAGCAGCCCAGGGTGTTTCCTAGGCCAATTGGAGGTGCTGAAGAAACCAGAACTGATATTTGGCTTTGACCCCGGTAGGTTTTAGGGGGTGGTTGGCCAGGTGTCAGCTGCTGCTTTAATTGAACTACAGATGTCTCCTCAGTGCCGCCTTGAGAAGCCGCAAACCTCTCCACAGGCTGGAGTAAGCCCTGATGATCCTGCTGTCAAGCCTCAGATTCACGCTTGGCTTCCCACATCTTACAGTGGTTCCCTTCCCTCCCCCCACTAGCTTCTGTGGGACTCTGCTTCTAGCCTTGTGCTCCTCTCTTTTCTTTGCTCTAGCTCTGCCTCCCCCCAGTTTCACTCTTACCCCCTGTCTTTTTCCACATATTTCTGTCTCTTCTGCTAAGGGCTTAACCTGTGGGAGCACCCTTGGCATCTGAGTTGTTTGCCTTCTGGTGAAAACTTGCAAATATTTGAAACAAGGAAATTATTTCCTTTGTACTTAAGTTTAAGTGGAAAAATCACTGTTTTTGTTTGTTTATTTTTTGAGACAGAGTCTCACTCCATTGCTGTGAGTAGAGTGCTGTGGCATCAGCCTAGCTGACAGCAACTTCAAACTCTTGGGCTCAAGCAATCCTGCCTGAGCCTCCCGAGTAGCTAGGACTACAGGCCCACACCTTGACGCCTGGCTCATTTTTCTATTTTTAATAGAGACGGAGTCTCGCTCTTGCTCAGGCTGGTCTCTAACTCCTGAACTCAAGCAATCCTCCCGCCTTGGTCTCCCAGAGTGTTAGGATTACAGGTGTGCCACCACACCTGGCCAAATCACTGCTTTTTTAAGCAAATGTATTTGATGCCCTGATAAGTAATCACTTGTATGGAAATACTATTGGATAATTAAGAACTTTTCCATAATACTATTAAAGCCTTTATTTCTTTTGATATTCAGAGCTATAAGTAATGTAATTTATCAGATAATGTTTTCTGTGTATGAGTTTTAAGAGTTTTTAAATTGTTTATATACTACATCATCGCATGTAGTTTTAAGCATTTTTCATTTGTTTTAGATGTACGGCTACGAAAACTTGCTGGAGAAAAGGAAGAGCTGCTATCACAGGTGAAGGCATTCTTCTCATTCAAGATAATATTAATTTTAACTAAGTTACATGACAAAATGACAGCAAACTAAAATGTTCATTAGAAAGAAATATGCTTATTTTAAGTATCAGTACTTAAGTGAGATTTGAAGGATAAAAAGATAACTCATACTTTTGCCTCTTTGTAGTTCTCTATTCTCTTAAGAAAACTTTTAGGACTCATAGTTTTAAGGAATCTAGTTATACAAAGCTTCTTAAGGAGACAGCAGTCCCCTTGGGACTTTTTCTCTTTTGAGATAGGATCTTGCTATGTTGCCCAGGGTGGCCTTGAACCCTGGGCTCAAGTGATCTTCCTACCTCAGCTTTCCAAGTAGCTGGGACTACAGGTATGTGCCACCATACTTGGCTGGAATGTTCCTTTTCTTTTTTTAAAGACAGGGTCTTGCTCCGTTGCCCAGGCTAGAGTGCAATGGTGCGATCATAGCTCACTGCAGCCTGGAATTCTTGGGCTCAAGCAATCTTCCTGCCTCAGCCTCCTGAGTAGCTGGGACTCCAGGAGTGCACCACCATGCCCAGCTAATTTTTAAACATTTTTGTAGAGATGAGGTCTTGCTATGTTGACCAGGCTGGTCTCCAATTCCTGGGATAAAGCGATCTTCCTGCCTTGGCTTCCCAAATTGCTGGGATCACAGGCATGAGCCACCATGCCTGGTCTGGACTTTTCCATTTTTAATAAAAGTAACAAAAAATACCCAAAGTATGTACTATTCCATGAAAACTTACACAAATAATAAAATATGGCTATTTTTATTGGTACACCTTGTCCTGTGGCTTGCTCCTTTTAGTATTTGTTTATAGCTTATCTCTAGCATTTAGAACAATATATGTCTCATAATAGGCAATCAAGAAAATAGTTTTCACATGAATAATTTGTGTGGCTGAATGACAAAGATCTGCCTTGTTCTATGATGTGGTCACTGGGCCAAGCATCTGCTTCATTTGAGAGATCGGATCTTGCTGATGAACCTTTATTTCCATTTCAGATTAGAAAACTGAAACTGCAGTTGGAGGAAGAACGACAGAAGTGCTCCAGGAATGATGGCACAGTGGGTGACCTGGCAGGACTACAGAATGGCTCTGACTTACAGTTCATTGAAATGCAGAGTAGGTACCAGGGGCCAGGCCAGCCCTGGTCTGTATGTAGGTCATGTCCCAGGAGTAGGATTGTGAGCAAGTTGCCAGAGTCTTGTAATACACTTTTTTCAAGAGGAGCTACGCTACAAAGATTGGTTAGTCTGTGGCTAGGCCAGAAAAGCAGTCCTAGTCAGTAATACAGCTGAATAGAGGCTTTGCTGGGCTGTGGGCTTCAGATGAGAGGACTGAGTTACTGCTCTACCCTTTCTGGGCAAAGTGATTTCTAGGAACTTTTTGCAGATAGTGCCTTTGACAATCTGACACTCCTTTTCCATACCCATGTGTCACCTTTAAGCTCCCATTACAGTTTTTTCCCCCTGTGAATTTATCTTGGATAATTGAAGGAACATATGTGGAACTAACTCACACTAATATCGAGCAGTTTCAGAATTTTACCAGAGGTATACCCAAATTAATCTTTTTTTTTTTTTGAGACACGGTCTCACTCTGTTACCTCGGCTAGAGTGCCATGGCGTCAGCCTAGCTCACAGCAACCTCAAATTCCTGGGCTCAAGCAATCCTCCTGCCTCAGGCTCCTGAGTAGCTGGGACTACAGGCATGCGCCACCATGCCTGGCTGATTTTTTTTATATATATTTTTAGTTGGCCAATTAATTTCTTTCTATTTTTAGTAGAGACTAGGTCTTGCTCTTGCTCAGGCTGGTTTTGAACTTCTGACCTTGAGTGATCCGTCCACCTTAGCCTCCCTGAGTGCTAGGATCATAGATAGGCATGAGCCACTGTGCCCGGCCCCAAATTAATCTTATATTAGGTGGAATTTAAAACAAGGCTGCAAATTAAAGTCTAGTTCACCCAAACTACTCTAGTTTTTATTCTTTTACTTTTGACCCTGTGTTATTATAAAATGACTACTGTATTCATATTAATTCCCACAGTAGAGAGATTTCAGCAGCCATTTGTATACACTTAGTTTTTGGTGATGATATATAATTAGCAGTCAGGGGAGACCTATTCCCCTCCCCCCTTTTTTTTTTAAACAACTCAAATATATTATCTCATACTTTCTGCTGTCTAGTCACTTGGACATGGCTTAGCAGAGCCATCTGCTTAGGGTCTCACAATGCTAAAATCAAGGTGTCAGGGCAGTTAGATCTATAAGATTCGGGGAATGGGCTGGCATGTATGTATGAATGCTTCCTAAAGCAGGAAGGTATTGTAAGCTGCTATTTGCAGAAGGTAGGGAAAAGTACCCAGGGTGGAGGTGGAGAATGATGTGATCTGAGTGGGACTGTGGAAAGACTGGGTCTGGCTGGTAAAGACCAAAGCAAGCAGCTCCGCTGGGCCCAGCAGGAAAGGAGCCCAGGCAACTCTCCATTCTGGACAGTGCCTCGGCTCTTAGGCATGGTGTTTTGGAATGGGATTTCAAAACACCATGAAATCACTGAGACAAGGGATTTACACATTTGAACACAGGAAGGAATGGGTGGCGTGGAGAATGAGAAGGAAGCAGCACATTTTGATAATCAATAGGTTGCTGAGAATGATAATTAAAAAATAAGATCCTGAAGTTTCTGTTTTAGAGCCCAGAAATAGGAATAGCTCTCTTTTACTACCAGAGGTGGATTTTGGGGAGATGGTTTTATAATCCTGTTACTTTTAAGGTAACTAACTGTCCATTTAGAAAAACTTCTTGTATTGAAGATTATATAGGTAATTGTAACCTTGGTCATGTGGAAATGTAGAAAAGTTTTTAAATTAGGTAATTTGAGTGTTTCCTTTGGTAGGTTAGATCTGGTTTATCTCCTGTAAGCATTATGATTCTGTAATCATTTCAGAGGCTGGGAATTTTTTACCTTCCCCATCATTTCTGAACTTTTCATTTCAGGCGATTTACTTCTCAGGTCAGATGTACATCTAATGAATTATATCCCTACCCAAAACATGGTATCACAACATGTTATTGGAAAGCAATGTTATTGGAAAGCAAATATTTATTAAGCATATATAATGTGTGCAAAGCACTTGACTCTAAGTACAGACGAAGATTTAAGAAGGCTAAGACAGGCCCCTGTATTTACATACGCATACAACATTTAAAAAGCTTGATAAATGTTATTTAAAAAGAATGTAAATAAAATGCTTACCAAGGGGAGAAGTTATAATTAACTAAGGGGGACTCATGGAGGAGGTAAAAATTGAGCTTGGCCTTGAAGGTTGGTTAAGATTTAAGTCAGAGGTGGGGTAAAAGGATCCTTGAGATAGAGAGCAGAAGGAAAACCTAGGAGGTGGGAAGGTACAGAGCTGGGTCAGGGAACCAGAAGGCCCAGTCCCATGGGCACAGAGGCTCCATGGGTCACAGAGCTGCACAAAGGTAGCAGGGGCTGCTGCTGCATTGGTGGGGCTCCTTTGTCAAAGCTCTGCTCACATACACCACAGGGTGAAGAATGAGTTTTCTTCTAACTCTTGTTCTAAGGGATACTGTTGCAACCTAAGTGCTAGCGCTTCCTGCAGTATGTACAGTCCAGAACCTGGGCTGCTGCAGATGCTGTGGTTGCTTCCTGTGCACTTGTATTTTGTAGTCTGCATGATCCTCTGTCCAGCAGAGGCATTGCCTGATGGTTTACACCATCTCTGAGAGGTGAAGATAATCCATTATTATCTTCTGTTCTAGGAGATGCCAATAGACAAATTAGTGAATACAAATTTAAGCTTTCAAAAGCAGAACAGGATATAACCACCTTGGAGCAAAGTGTAAGTACTTCTTTTATATGGTACCAGGTGATTTAAATTTCGTTTAATACATATCTCCTTCCTGCATCTAAGTGGCTAACCCCATGACTGCTTGGGTTTCTGTGGGCTGCTTTTGCAGTTAGATCTATAACAGTTCTATATTTAAATAGAAAAGCCAGCAGAGAGCACCTGGCAGGGGCACTTCAGTCTTCTGTTTTCTCTAAAAACACAGGAAACTGTAGCTATCATTTTTTTATAGATATTTCAAGAGAATTCAAGATCATAGTTTATAACAAAATCCCTTAGTATGTATTTTAAAAAGTCTAAAATGATTTCCATTCAGTGAGTCTCCTCCTATGATGTTACTTTGGGACTTAAACAATATGGTCATCATAACTCTTAACATGGGAAATTGGCCCTATAGTGACTCTACAGCTGTAATCCTCTCTGGGGGATACTTCTTGATTTATAAATAGCAGTTGGGTTCTAAGAGGACCTATGACTCACCCTGAGGGGACTTGTTAGTATTAGATCACTTGGAATTTATTATGACATTGTATTTCCATCTTGGCTACCAAAAAGTGGTGATTTCTAGTGCCCAACACTGGAGGCCTATGTTCTTATATTGACAGATTAGCCGGCTGGAGGGACAGGTGCTGAGATATAAAACTGCTGCTGAGAATGCGGAGAAAGTGGAAGATGAACTAAAAGCAGAAAAAAGGAAGCTACAACGAGAGGTACTTGTTTTTACTATGCTTCTTGAAAACTATGTTCCTAAACAAAAAATCCTTTGGAAATAAATTCTTTGCTGTATAAGAAATTTAATACTGATCAGTAAGTATCAGTATAATACTGATTTCAGATCTAAATGCTGAAATTTAATCAGATCTTAAGGAAATAGCAGTGGAATCACTTACCCATTTGTGCTGGTTTTTGACCCTGCACAGTGACTTCCATTTACCTGTATGTTTTGTTCAGTTAGACACTGAGTAAAAAAGACAGTTTTTATTTTTGTTTCAGATCAGGTCTGTCTCTCCAACTTCTGTATAACCTTTCTGTGATTTATACAAATAAACAATCTTCAACATCACTGTTCATCACCTCTAACTGGCAGGAAAAAAGAATTAGGCTCTAAGATCCTGTGCAAGGCCATCACAATTAGCAGTGCCTCCATTTCCAGAAAGCTGGAAGTAAAGTGCCCACGGGGTTTTGTTTCTGGCTATGTGAAGTGACTGAGCTCTCCTTGTCTCCAGTTACGAACAGCGCTGGACAAGATTGAGGAGATGGAGATGACCAACAGCCACCTGGCCAAGCGGCTGGAGAAGATGAAGGCCAATAGGACAGCACTTCTGGCCCAGCAATAGGGAGGCCACCCTTTGACCTGGGCGCTGCTCCTTGGGGCCCTGCCCAGAGGAACTGACTCTTTGTCCATTGACAGAAACCCCTTTCAGTAGTACTGTTTGAGTTTTGTCATTAAAATAGTCACCTTTGTATTTTATAATTTATGAGAGAATGAAGCAGGTTTGAATCTTCATGAATGAACACTTGGATTTTGTTTGTAGTTTGATTTTAGACTAAGAACCAGTCCATACTGTTATTTTTAATTTCCATAATTTCAGAATCACGTTTACTCTACATTTTCCCCCAACTGCCTCAGTGACTGGGCACCCGAGGCCTTGGCATGGGTTGTAGAGGACAGCAATTCCATGAGTGCTCACTGAGATGCTTGCTGGAGACCTCAGAAAACACAAGTGCCTTCTCCACGGTGCAGTTCAGACTTCAGCGATCTCCAGTGGTCAAAAGACATTTACCCTTAATATCAGATAGCATTTATATTTTGGTGAAGAAACAAGTTCACAGATGGGGCATCTATGTTTCACTCAAATTTATATGTTTGGAGGAAAAAGCTTTTTTGGTAAAATATTTAAATTTATATAAGAAAATGTTAGGAAAAAATATGGGGAGTGTTATATAAAACTTGCTTTATTGCATGGGGCAGGGGAAGTCCAAGGGCTAATACTCTTAAATAAGAGTAGGGTCCTTATTCTTCAATAGCAACTGTGCTGTACCTTGTAAAGTATTTCATCTGCTGCTTATTTGTGGAACGAAACCTCAGACAAGCTGAAGGGGGAGGGAAGGGCAGGGTAGGCAGGTAAGGAATCTGCCTAAAGATTCTATTAAACACACCCTTTTGCCAACCACAATTGGTACTGACACGTTCATTTTGTTATAGGAGCCTTTAAAACAAATCATGGCAACCACATCCCTCTTATCTTCCCCTCTTCTTTTATCTCTTTCTCATGGAAAAATAATCTGAAATTTTGAACTTTTTCTTTTAAGACCTTTATTTCATCTTTAAGGGTACCCAGTTGCAGAGGTTTATATATCACTGAGTGCAGCCACTTAGCAGGATTTGCAATTCTTTTTTGCTGTCAGAACCAAGGTGGTTTTATGGAGATGATAACTGTATCTTTAGAGTATTAACACAGAAAATGTACTGGGGAAAATCTAATGACTCAAGGCATATTAAGGTAATAAAACTAGACTTGAAACTAGATGAAGGTAACTCAGAAGTGAATAAAACCTGTCTCTAATAATTGTTCCCTCCCTTAAAGCAATCGTGGATACCAAACTTCTAAATTGAGATGATTTCCCATAAATTTTCTTGCTAATAGTAACAACGGTTGTGTGGTGGGGATGGGCAGGAGGGTTTTCTGAAGTGCAGGGTTATCCTAGAATCCCCTAGGTGGAACCAACATATTGTGTGGCCCTGCTCTTGTGGCCTAGGAAACCCCTCCTCCTCTCTACTCAAGGTCACTCAGCCTGTGTCCCCCCCTCAGGCTCAAGGAACCTCACTTCTGAGATCATCCTTCAAACAAGAATACCTAGAAACTTCTTTATGTTAAGCCGGTAATATTCATAACCATTAACAAAGTGGGCTAATGTAAAAACTCATACTTGTTATAGACTGAGTAAGGACTGTTTTCTTCCCTCAAGTTTTTTCCTTAAGAATAAATGAATTAGCTTTGGTTATTAAAGATACTATAGATGATCAGTTCAAGCTTCCTTCATAGTCAGTGTCATCAGAGCCTCTGACATGCTTAGGATCTCCTATAAAAAGCATCTGAATTTATATACCACCTGCTATTAGAAATTTATGAGAATACAGAAAGAATCAACTCAGAATGAGCTAGGATATCATCAAGGCCTTTTTAGGTATTTTTTTTAACATGCCAGCCTAGCCAAGATAGAATTCTTAATAGTGCTTGTACAATACCTTTCACCAGATGCTTAGAGGGATTTCAAACTTATATTGGGATTCTTCAACATAATCAGGTATATACTAGATGAAAATCGATCTAGAAAATCTTTCAAGGATAAGGGAATTAAATAAGAAATAACATTAGAATACATCTGACAATTTATTTATAATCAATCCACCATGCATGAAGGAATGCTACTAGTTAGAAGGCAGATGTGAGTCTTAAACTTTAAGTGCTACAACACTGAACTACAAAGAAAGAACAACATACCCCAGAGTCCATAAATGACCATATTTAACACCTCTCAAAGACTTTGTATAGGTCTGGCAGATTAGCAAGCTGTAGGACATTTCCATCTTCTGTGAAATGTTTAGGAGGCAGAAGGTGTGAGCGGAAGGCTTTATAGACAATGTGTTCTACAGTCCACTTCCAGGGGTGTGGAGTGGCGCCAGGCACATCACTCTGGAAAACACATTAGATGTCATAAGCCCTCTTGTTCATATCCCAGCATACAGCGGCTTCCTGGCTGATGGCATGTACACTGGGGCTGGAAAGTCTTGGTGGCTTGTGATGGGCTATGTCATCTAATGTTTATGAAGCAGCCTCTGTGGGCCAACCTCTCAGTGATCCCACAGGCCTGAAAAGAAGAGGTTTTTAAGGGAGAAAAGCCACTGCTCTTGAGGGGCTGATTCCATTCAGGTAATGAGGATTATTTTACCTCATCTTTCCTCTCCTTCTTTTAAGACTTAGGTGTCTCATAAACAAGGAAATGTTCTTTCTCTTCTGTCCTTCCTTTCCTTGAGGTAAATTTTTCCAGTCACCTGAGATACTCTTAGCATAGTTTGGTAAGTGTGCTGTTTTGCCCTCCACTGGAATAAAAAATTCCCTAGGGGCTTTCGCCAACAGGACCTAAGACTCAATCTCTGCTCCACCACCTACAGACTGGGAATTCTTGAGCATGCCAACCATTCTTCAGCTTCCTCATCTGTGAACTGGAGCATGACTGAGCAATCACTGAGATGGTTATGTATTAAAGTATACCTTTTGATTCTTACACTATTTCAACTCCCCACTTCCTCCTCCCCTGAAATATATGTTGATTTGGAACGCATTTTCATCTGACGGGGAAAAGTGACAATAAAACATTAGGAACCCAGGCCCTTCTGTGTCAAGTTGACCTATAAGGGGAGTTATAGAGCCCTGTTTTCCTGGCAAGGCAGCGGTCCCTAACCTTTTTGGCACCAGGGACCAGTTTCATGGAAGACAATTTTTCCATGGACTGGGGCTGGGGGTGGTTTCAGAATGATTCAAGCACATTACATTTATTGTGCAGTCAAACCTCTCTGCTAATGATAATCTATTTGCAGCTGCTCCCCAGCACTAGCATCACCGCCTCAGCTCCTCAGATCATCAGGAATCAGATTCTCATAAGGAACGTGCAACCTAGATCCCTTGCATGCACAGTTTATGGTAGGATTCGTGCTACTATGAGAATCTAATGCCCCTTCTGATCCAACAGGAGGCAGAGCTTATGCAACGATGGTAGCAATCAGGAATGGCTGTAAATACACATGAAGCTTCCCTGGTCTGCTGCTCACAACCTGCTGTGTTTTGTTCCAATAGGCTGTAGACCAGTATGGGTCCTGGGGTTTGGGGACTGCAGAAATAAGGCAAAAGCTAAGAGACTGGGGAGACAGACCCAGAATCTGAAGACTTTGGCTACACACTTAAGGGCCAACAATCTCCCAACAATGTGAGATTACGGATCCACCAGCCTTGGACAATCTAACTCAACCTCCAGTTTCTCACTGTGATGGCCTGTGTTTTACATTAGAGAGTTTCTGAGTTCCCTCTGGAGGTACATTCAAGACTGGCAGAAGTAAATAAAACTCATGAATAGAAGCTGACCATTGCATTTGAATCCTATTGTATACAATGAAATCCCAGGACTTAGAGATGGGCAAGCTTCATTTCCTAACGGTTGTGTGATGCCCGCCCCAGTCCTGGGGTGCCAATGTGTATCACCACCATACCTGCTGGCCTGAGAGCGTCGACTCCTCAGATATGTACTGCTTCCGGATAGAGTAAAACATGGCACATTCTTTACTGAGGCTTTCAAAACATTCCTTTTCTTCATCCCAGTTCACCTGGTTCAAAGAATTCAACACCTCAAGATAGGTACACACTTCAAACACATTTTCCTTTCTGAAAAAATGGAGATCACAGCCTACTTAAAGCCAAAAATACCTAAATGTGATGTTTAGGCATTAAAGCTATAAACTGGACTGCTGAATATTGGTGGGGATGAGAAGCTATTTTACTCTTGTCATTTCTGTCATTCTAAATGAAGGTATAGTCATGTGCTCTCTCCCTCCAGCACACATGCATGTGTGATATGCTTAGTATCTGTGTGATCACTTACCTCAGTGGCTAGTCGAAGAATGAAGATAGGCAGTCCCTCCAAAGGGGGCACATAGTTGTCAATCAGAAGGGGTAATCCAATCAGGTTCCCTTCCTGCTTGTGGAAAAAAGGCCGGCACAAAGGGACAGGAAATAATGCTGTTACAGTATAAACAAATTCCATTTCTTCAGTTCATTCCCAGGCCTTGTCCTCACATCTGCCACTCTGGGTGACTAGGTACTTGGCTGGGCACTGAGGCCAGATGAAAAAGTACTTTTTGTCCTGACATACAGTGGAACAACCCGCTTTGTGAATCTGCTCACCAATCAAAGAACATGTTAAGACAGAAAGCCCCAAAGACTGAGGGGTAAGAGGAAGAAAGGGGAACAAGGGCATAATCTCATTTGCAATGGCCTGCAGGGATGTAGCTCTCCCTTGCGTCTGGGTCCTTCCCCGGGGAACAGGAGTGGATATGAACCAATAATAGTATAGTAGTGTAACCCAGAAATCAAATATGGAGTGGAGAGCATGTCATGTATGTAACATGCTGCCTCTGAGGGGAGGCCCAGTCTTGATCTTGGAACTTGACTTTTATCTGAACTACATAACAGAGGTGTAATAACGGTCACACCTCATCAATTTCCAAAGAGAAGTAGTCTGCAAGCATCTCAGCCTTCTTCTTCAGAAACTCAACAATGTATTCAGCAAGTCCTTCTTTGGGACCATCTTCCTCTGTCCAGCCGCTCTCTGGACTGTCTAAGGCCAACATGGCGAGGTCAAAGAGTGGCGCTGGCTCCTAGGAAGGAGCAAGACCATCAATGGGCAAGCATTAACAGCACATCCAAATAAAGCCTGAATTCCACAAAACCACTATCAGAACAGCAAGTGAGAAACCACAAATGTTACACTTATTCCCCATTTCCTCCAAAAGAAATACCATAACAATCTTCAACAGGCCAGGCAAGGTGGCTCACACCTGTAATCCTAGTACTCTGGGAGGCCGAGGTGGGCGGATTGCTTGAGGTCAGGAGTTCGAAACAATCCACAACAAAACCTCTGCCTTACCTTGTCAATGGCCATTTCAAAAGAGAAGATGTGACAGACAAAAAGCATGCTGAACAGGTGGGAAGGGTGAGGCCACGAGGAGGTAGGTACTTTCTTTCTGTGTAGTCTTAAGGACTCAATTTAACTTTCATATTTCTAGAAAATCACTAGGCATATCATTTATTTCTTTCTACGGCCTCAGCTGTAACTAAAGCAAGGGGGATGAAGAATAAATTAAATCAAATGACATTTCAGGTAAATGATCCAGTGAGGAAGAAGAGTGAAATCTATGGTTAAAAATAAGATGCCTATAATCCCAGTGCTTTGGGAGGCCAAGGCGGGAGGACAGCTTGAGCAAACGTGAGACCCCCATCTCTACAAAAAAATAGAAAAATTATCCAGGCATGGTGGTACACACTTATAGTCCCAGCTACTCGGGAGGCTGAAGTGGGAGGATTGCTTCAGCCCAGGAATTTGAGGGTACAGTGAATTATGATCATGAGATTGCATTCCAGCCTGGGTGACAGAGCAAGACCCTTTCTTGAAAAAAAATTTGTGAATTAAGTAGCCAGTGCAATCAGTTAAGAGAAAGAAAAGGCTTCCAGATTGGGCAGGAAGAAATAAAATTTTCTTTACTCTCAGATGACATGATCATCCATGTAGAAAATCTGAGCATCTATAAAATTTGCATTAGAGCTAGTAAGTGGGTTTAGCAGGGTTGTGAGATACTATATCAATGTATAAAAATCATGTGTATTTCTATATACTAGCAATAAATAATTGGAAATCAAAATTTTTTTTAAAATGCCATTTATAACATTAAAAAATGTGAAATACTAAGGGATTTATCTAACATAAGATTTTCTCCCCAAATTGATCTATAGATTCAACACAATCCCAATCAAAATCCCAGTAGATTTTTTCACACAAGTAGTATGATTTTAACTCTAAAATTAGGCATTGAAAGAGTCTTAGAAGAAATAGACTAAAATTGTTAGTAAGGGTTATTTTTGGACCATGGCTTTAGAGAATGCTTATTTATATTTTTATGCCTTTCCACATATTAACTTCTATAACTTCTATAATAAAAACCACTTGTTTAAGTTAGCTACCAAATGACTATTTGACTAAAAAGTATAAAATTTTATTAAGATTACAGATACCTCCAAACTCAAGTAATATAATACAGAAAGTATCATGAGCATATTTAGAAAATTTAATATACTATAAATAAGATATTAGTGTAGAACTACGATTTTCAGAAACAAACAGTTGTTGAAGTTTCAGAAGTGAGAAGAAGATAAACTTACCGATAACCTCAGAACACCAAAATTGGCAAAATCATAAATGAGTATCTGGTAGAATAGCTCTTCACTGAAAATAAAAATGAAGTGACTTTAGACTGAGATGGTTCTGCCTTGCTGTGGAACCTGGTTAACAGTCTAACAAAAATCTCTTATTCCTCCAAAGAGCTGGGAGTCCCAACATCTGCTGTAACCAGGGCTGTGAGTGGCCACCCTCCACAGACAGGTTCAAGCGCTGAGACTAAGGCTTGCTTGCTATCGCTCACACTCTGTTCCACCCCTTTGGGGCTGTAAAAAGTTTCTGATACCCTGAAGTGAAATTTAAAGAGTTTTTTTGTTTGCTTACCTTTCCCCCACTTACAAAGAATACTATAAATCATTTTTTACAACTCACCATTAAAAATTATATGAAATATACAGGGAGGCCAGGAAGTCTTCCTAAATAATCAAAAGCAGACATATGGCAGGATTACACTACACTGATGTATGGTTTAGGGTGACGCACTAGCTGGCAACAATCCAAAAGCAGCTGTGAAGTATGCAATGTATTGAATTATTTACAAAAACGCAGAATTGGAATGAATGTCACATTTATGTGGTACTTTATAGTTGGTAAAACAAATTGAACCATATAGGTCTTGCTTGAAGATTTCATTATCAGTCAAAGCAGACAAAGCATCTGTTATGCCTGCATTATGGTAGGGAAACTGAGGTACAAAGTAAGTAGCTGACTTGTCTTATGTCAGTAAAGTGCCAAAGGAAGAAGTTGAATTTGGTCATCAAACTCTGAGACTAGTTCTCTCCGTGTCTTTTTAACTTCTCACTGAGAAACCATTCACATTTATGAGCTGCCATTCTGGGACTGGCCTGGATTTGTACCTTTGAGATGAAAGAACCTGAAAGCAACAGTGATCTGGAGCCTTAGGAGTCATGTGCTTAGTCATGCCGGAAAAGCAAAAGCAAGAGGAGTAGAATTCCTAACAAATTAGCAAGTGGCAAATCACTATACAAGCCCAAGGAATCTCAGAGCAGACAATGGAACTTGAACAGACCTGCTCCCAAAGGTTTGCCAAGCCTAGAAGGAATGAGTTCTGAATGCACAGGAGGAAATGTGTTGCCAACAGTCAGTTTCTGGACTGGGGCAGTTTCCAGGGGTGGCAAACAGGCTTTTGTCTCATGTGCTAACTTCAAGCAATGTATAGTGGCTGCCTCACAAACAGGGCCAAAAAGCATTCTGATGTAATCCTAGCACTCTGGGAGGCCGAGGCGGGCGGATTGCTCGAGGTCAGGAGTTCGAAACCAGCCTGAGCAAGAGCAAGACCCCGTCTCTACTATAAATAGAAAGAAATTAATTGGCCAACTAATATATATATATAAAATTAGCCGGGCGTGGTGGCGCATGCCTGTAGTCCCAGCTACTCGGGAGGCTGAGGCAGCAGGATTGCTTGAGCCCAGGAGTTTGAGGTTGCTGTGAGCTAGGCTGACGCCACGGCACTCACTCTAGCCCAAAAAAGGGAGGACTCTGTCTCAAAAAAAAAAAAAAAAAAAAGCATTCTGAGGCCACAGCAGGGCTTAGAGAGAAAGAGTCCCACAGTGGGTAAGTGATATCTAGTAGAATCAAGGTGGCATCATCATCTCATGTGTACTACCTATCTGAGAACAGTATTTAATACAGGTTCTAGACTGAACAGGAGCTAATCCACCAAGGTGCCTGGAAACAAACAAGAGAAATGTCACCTGCTATGTAATGGGCAAATGGCACTGCTGGGGACACCCTTCTTGTGCTGGTCAACCGCACTTGGGTAGTTTGGTAGCTGAAGTGAAGCCTTTGCCACATTCCCAAAGCTGGGAGAAAAACAGGCATCAAGTCTTCTTTCTCTTGCATCCCCTACAGTATCCTGCTGCACACAGCAGATACTGGAATTCTCTGACAGCACTAAGCCCTCAAACACCTGGTTCACAGCCAACATTTATTGATCACTGAGCACCTACCCAGGACTAGGCTTCTCAGGTTATTTCTTATCTTTATATATATATAAAAAAAGCCCTGTAAGTAACCATATCCCAATATACAGATGAGAAATCTCAGATGAAAAATCTGAGACATAGTTTAGGAGAGTAATTTGTCCACAGTCATAAAAATGGGAAATAGTAGAACTTAGATTTAAAACCACACCTGTCTGATTCCAAAGCCTGTACCCTTTCCAAATACCTTGTGCTGCTCTTCCTAGCTTTTTGTGCCTGTGGTCCCTGGACCATTCTTCTAGTGGCTCTGTTTTTTCACACATTCACTGATTTACCTCAGTTTGGTGGTGTTAAGAAGGTATAACTTCGTCTGATGCTGTGCCAAGGCCCACTGAGGATTCACACAGCCCACAAAGGAGTGGTTATGCAACATCTCCCGTAGAACTGGAAAACAAAAACAAAAAAGAGGTAAGTAATGGAATCCTCCCAACGCCTCTTCACAGCCCACAGCACCAAGCACTGGAAGTAGAGACACCAAACAAGTAAAGATGCCTGAACTGAGCCTTCTGCTGAAAACAAACACAAATGAGGTATGAAATATAAACTAATCTTTGAAAATGCAACAAGGAATTGCTAAAAGATTAAGGAATACTCAAGGATCAAGGTCTCAGACAAAGCAGGAACCCAGAGAAATAATGATATCTCTTAAAGCTAGCTTTATACAAAGATATTAGAGAACCTCAGGAATCATGCACTTTAGTTTTCTCAGGCTCTGAAGGAGGCAACAGGAGGACAAAAGCCTAGGAATGGTTTAGCATGGGGAGTCTAATAGGTGACCACTTCCCCAACACATGAAGCTGAGACCCCAAGGGCTGTATCCTCTGTGTAAATGAAAATAGTATTATGCCCAATGCCCACTCACCTCCCCTTCAAAGGGCAGTAAGCAAAAAACTAACACCTCAAGCCTTGGTGTTGGAAGTAAAAAAGGACATTCCTGAGAATCTATAAGCATAACTGGCTCTCACATGTTTTTGCAGCCAGAATTCATTCAGGTTGCCTGGAAACCTTGAAGTAGAAATTTTAAATTGATACCAAGGCTGATTGTTCCTCCAAGTCCCTGGCAGAATCAAATGCATATTCTCTCTGGAGAAACTCATCTTTAATCCCGACTTCAAGTAATTCTCCACGGATAAAGTACCAGGAACTAGTAGTCACAAAATTTACAAAATACCCAAACAAGGCACCAAAAATTAGAATCAAGTAGAAACCACAGAATGAGATATGTAAAGGTTTCAGGGATTGGAAATATCAGCAAAGAACATAAAATAAGTATGCCCAAGAGGTATTAAAACTATGAGTAAGCAGTAGGACACTATCAAAAATGATGGAGAGTTCAAAAAGAACCAAATAAAGTTTCTAAAATTGGAAAATACAATAATTGACATTAAAAATCAAGACAGACTTAACAATAGATTTGGTAAAAGGCAGTGAGGTAATAAACTGTAAGGTAGATCTAAAGAAATTATCCAGAATACAGCATAGAGAGATAAACACATGGTAAGTATGAAGAGATAGCTAATGCAATATGGAGGATAGAAAATATATAACTCAAGTTCCAGAAAGGGTTGAGGGGAAGGTAGGGAGAGGATAATATATGGCATTGAAGAAAAAAAATATCTGAGACTATCTCAGAAATGATGAAAGATGTCAAGTCTCAGCTCTAGGAAGCCCAACAAAATCCATACTTGACACAGAGTGTTACTAAAGAATTTTTTTTTTTTTAAGAAACAGGGTCTCACTACGTCACCCAGGCTGGTCACAAACTCCTGGCCTCAAGTAATCTTCCCACATCAGCCTCCTGAGTTGCTGGGACTACAGATGCATGCCACTGTGCCTGGTTTGCTATAGGATATTTTTAAAAAGAGACCTTAAAAGCACTCAGAGGCTGGGTGCGGTGGCTCACGCCTATAATCCTAGCACTCTGGGAGGCCAATGCGGGAGGATCGCTCAAGTTCAGGAGTTCGAGACCAGCCTGGGCAAGAACGAGGCCCCGTCTCTACTAAAAATAGAAATAAATTAATTGGCAAACTAAAAAATATATATATAGAAAAAATTAGCCAGGCATGGTGGCGCATGCCTATAGTCCCAGCTACTTGGGAGGCTGAGGCAGAGGATTACTTGAGCCCAGGAGTTTGAGGTTGCTGTGAGCTAGGCTGATGCCACGGCACTCTAGCCTGGGCAACAGAGCAAGACTCTGACTCAAAAAAAAAAAAAAAAAGCACTCAGAGAGATTATCTACTAAGTAACAAAATACAAAACTTCTGGCTGAATTTTTAACAGCAACAATAGAAATCAGAAAATGACAGAATATCTTCAATGCACTAAGAAAAAGTAATTTCAATCTGGAATTTTATTTAATTTTATTTTTGAGGCAGAGTTCAGTGGCGTCAGCCTAGCTCACATCAACCTCAAACTCCTGGGCTCAAGCAATACTCCTGCCTCAGCCTCATGAGTGGCTGGGACTATAGGCACGTACCCCCACACCCAGCTAATTTTTTCTATTTTTAATAGAGATGGAACACAATCAATAGAGCAAACAGACAATCTACAGAATGGGAGAAAATATTTGCATGCTATATGTCTGATAAAGGGCTAATAACCAGAATCTACAGAGAACTCAAGCAAACCAGCAAGAAAAAAAATCAAACAACCCCCTTAAAAAGTGGGCAAAAGACATGAACAGAAAATTTTCAAATAAAGATAGACTTAATGGGCAGAAAACACATGACAGGAGTCACTATCTATGACACCTATAGCCTTATGAAATATATTTCATAGATAATAAGACTTACAATTTGAAACTACTCCTTGATCTGTGGACTGCAAAATGGATATCATGTTAACAGGCATGAAAACATTCATCATCTTGTACATCTCCATCAGAGCTCTTGTGTGACCAGGTGCATTGTCAATGAACAGTAATATTTTGACAGGAATCTTTTTTTCTGAGCAAGTAGGTCTCAACTGTGGGCTTACAATACTCAGTAAATCATCCTATAAACAGATGTGCTGTCACCTAAGCTCTGGTGTTCTATTGCTAGAGCACAGGCAGAGCAGATTTAACATAATTCTTAAGGGCCTTAGGATTTTCAGAATGATAAATGAGCACTGGCTTCAACTTAAAGTCACCAGCTGCATTAGTCCCTGACAAGAGAGTCAGCCTTTCTTTTGAGGCTTTAACACCAGGCATCGACTTTTCTCTAGCTAGGAAAATCCAATTGACATCTTCTTCCAACAGAAGAGTGTTTCGTCCACATTGAACAGTCTAATCTGTTGTGTAGTGTAGCCACCTTCATCAGTCATCTTAGCTGGATCCGGATAACCTGCTATAGACTTTCCATCAGCAGCACTTGCTGCTTCTCCTTGAACTTTTATGTTATGAAGACACCTTCTTTCCTTAAACCCCATGAAACAACATCTGCTTGCTTCAAACTTTTCTTCTGCAGCTTTCTCACTTCTCTCAGCCTTTACAGAATTGAAGTGAGTTATGGCCTTGCTCTAGATGAGGCTTTGGCTTAAGGGAATGTTGTGGGTTGTATGCTCCTGTATCCACACCACTAAAACTTTTCTTCATATCAGCAATAAGGCTGTTTCACTTTCATACCATTTGTGTATTTACTGGAGTAGCACTTTTAATTTCCTTCAAGAACTTTCCCTTTGTACTCCCAACTTGGCTCACTATTGGGCATAAAAGGCCTACCTTTTGGCCTGTCTCAGCTTTCAACATGCCTTCCTCATAAGCTTAAGCATTTCTGCTTTTGATTTGATATGAGAGACATGCAACTCTTTTCACTTGAACACTTAGGGCCATTTTGGGGTTATTAATTGGCCTAGTTTCAATATTGTGTCTCAGGGAATAGGGACGCCCAAGGAGAGGGAGAGAGATGGAGGAATGGCTGGTCAGGGAAGCAGTCAGAACATACACATTTATCGATTAAGTTTGCTGTCTTATGCGACAGTGGTTTTTGGCATCCCAAACAGTTACAATAGTAATAATATCAAATAAAACTGAGCACAGATCACCATAACAGATATAATAATAATGAAGAAGTTTGAAATATTGCGAGAATTACCAAAATATGACACAGAGACACAAAGTGAACACTGCTGTTGGAAAAATGGCGCCAACAGACATGCTATATGTATGGTGGCCACAAACCTTCAATATATTAAAAAAACCCAATTATCTGTGAAGTGCAATAAAATGAAGCACAATAAAACAAGATGTGCCTATATTAACATGGAAACTGCAAATCTAACATCATACACAAAAAATCAATTCCAGGGGGGCTAAAAACTTAAGTATTAGCCTTTAAGGAAACAATGTAAGAGCATACTTTAATTATCCCAGAATTAAGAAGGATTTCTTAAGCTAGTAAAGCCAATCTGTAAAGAACAATTGATAAGATCTTCCTACTTAAATCTAAGGATTTCTGTTCATAAAACAAATGTTCACCAAAAATGTTATTAGATGATCCCTAAACTAGGGGAAGATATTTTCAGTGTAACTGATTATTATCTAGACTACATTAAGAACTTCTAAAATCAGTTAGAAAAGATCAAAAATCCAACATAAAAATGGACAAAAAACTTGAATATGCACTTAACAGAAAAGAAAATATATTTACTCAACTTGATTGTAACCAAGAAAATGCAAATAAAACCCACCATCATATACCGTTTCATAATCATCAAACTGGTAAAAAGTTTGACAATATAAAATATTGGACACAAAGTAGAGCAAATGCAAATTCTGTACATTGTTGATGATAGTATAAACGAATATGACCGCTTTGGAAAACAATTTGTCATTTTATGACCCAGGAGTAACTCTTCTAACTATTAATATATTAATCTACCCTATAGCAGAGCTTCTAAACCAGTGTGCTGGGCCATTGATCAATTAATTCATGGATGGGAAGCTAGGTGGGATGAGGAGGCAGGCACTGAGGCCGTATGAGTTCCTCAACTGTCCTTCAACAGTAGAATGAATGAACTGTACATTCATGGAGTGGAATCTATTATACAAAAAAGGTAAACCAGAGCTATATATAACAAGATGGATGAACCTTAGAAACATAATACGTGTGTAGCTATATATAAACTTCAGAAAAATTAAACTTACAGTATAATTCCATTCATATGAGATTTAAAGCTTGCAAAACTGAACACATTTTTTTTAAGGCATATAAAAGTAGGTGGTAGGCCGGGCGCTGTGGCTCACACCTGTAATCCTAGCTCTTGGGAGGCCGAGGCGGGCGGATTGCTCAAGATCAGGAGTTCAAAACCAGCCTGAGCAAGAGCGAGACCCCGTCTCTACTAAGAAATTAATTGGCCAACTGATATATATATAGAAAATTAGCCGGGCATGGTGGCGCATGCCT